TATGGTTAAATGTGATAAGACCAAAGGACTGGACGGAGGCCATCATCAAAAATGCTCACATGTGCAGCGCACACTTCATATCAGGTTAGGGAAAAAGTATTTCCTGTTGTAGGGATGAATAAGGTTATGTGTATTAAGGGTTATCATGTCCACCTCATCAGAAACTGGGGAGGGATTAAGAGGAAGATTGGATTTCTCTGCAACGCTAACTTTTTAGCACATTAGATTAGCACTCCCACACTCAGACTGAGTATTTCTGAACTCACTACTCACATCATCTTCCTCCGTTGTCTTAAACAAACCAACAGAACTTGCTAGCTAGTATTAGCTAATGCCTGTGGAGAATTGTTTTGCCTCCAGCTAAGCCCCGCCCACCAAAAAACATCATACTGTTTACTAATAGTGAAAGGGTCTATGGTAAACCTGTTTTTGTTTGTGTACCTTTGTCTCTGTTGAAGCGAGGCAGCCACTTCACAGCTGCTCCCCACAGCAGTAGCGCCCCCTGCTGACCATCCGGCTGCTCCACAGTTAGAATGGCCTGCAGCTGAACAGCCGACCTGCAGCGAGACTCAGCCTCACTCCGCCACGCTAACAAACATCCATTAAATTAATCTCATCTTCAAATGTAAAACAACCAAATCAACAAATACATTTTACAGGGCAAACGGTGTGCCACAGGGATCAATCCTGGGACCACTGTTGTTTGAATTTCATATAAATAATACTGAGCCCAATCTTCTGTTTCCAAATGTCTGTTTCTTTGCTGATGATACTGTTATTGATCACACTCTTTCCCCACAAATTCAGGCTCCCTCTCAGTTTTTACCCCCGCCCAAAAATAGTGATTTAAGCTTGTCTTGACGGCTGATGGAACCACGACAAATTCTAAGTTTCTTCTGAAAAATATTTAGGATTTTTTCCTGCTGATATAATTTTATTTCTGCCCCATATCTAACATCTTGTGGTTTGTATTCTGCTGAAATTTACTGTAATTATTCTCTAATTAGGTCTTCCTGTCCTGTCCACAAGTTTTTATAATAACAGTAAAGAGGTGTGCTTTCGTCTATAAGTTGAAACACTGTTAGCAGCATTTTAATCAGACGTCCAAGCCAGGGACAACAAACCAGACACAGCAGATAAACAACAACATTTTCTTACCCATAATGCTGCTGTGTTATCTTCAAACTAAAGGGGTTTACTGCTGTTAACTAGCTGAGTTCAGCATCTCCTTGTTTGTCCTGATGACTCAGCTGAGTCTGATGTCTACTGACACTCTGTACCTGTGACCAAACTCACCTGTGCTGATGTGTGTATGAGTGATGTGCAGCAGGGCATGGACCAGAGTGTTGACCCTTAGTGACCTCAGGGTGGCGTAGGGGAGGCGGTTCAGGTCCTGAGGGGGGCGGAGGTTTGAAGACACCAGCAGGGGGCGCCGCTCCCGAAGAAAGCCACATAGAGAGCTGAGAGTGCGAGCGTTAACATGCTGAGGAGCTGCAGAGAGAGACAGAGAGCTGGCTGAAGCAGAGGTCAGGAGAAAGGCCACTGATTGGTCACAGGTGGGGTTCAGTCGTACCTGGTGGTGAGGCGGAGGCAGTGATCTGTCCCAGGTTGAGCAGTTTGCTGCTTAAGGTCGACTGCAGCACTGTCTCCCCTCTCCACCTGTCTTCATTTACCTGCAGTCCTGATCAGAGACGACAGGGAAACAATAATCTGCATCATGAAACGGGTGGAGCTGGAAGCTTGATGACATGGTGACTGTCTGTAGGTCGCTCAGTGAACGAGCAGCAGTTTTCTCTCCTAACCTAGATTTGGAACATCAGTGCGTTCTCATTAAATGTGTTTAAGGTTCAGCAACACTATAATTGTCGACTGGTGGGTTTGAGCTGGTGAATTTCTTGTGAAATGATGAAATCTGATGTAGAAAGGAAGGTTTGTAAAACAGTTTGAAGGTTTATCAGACACAAAATCACCTCACAGGTTTATAAGACTTAAAACACACTTAAATCACAATACAGACATTCACAGACCGACGGGAAGTCATTCACAGTGCTGCATTTGGTTGATGCATGAAAAGTGACAGAATTAGTTTCCTACGTTTAAACTTCACAGCTGACCAATCACAGCGTTAAGTGGGCGTGGCCGTTGGGTTGTGCATCGTTACATAATTGTCAGAAATCATCGCCATCATCAGTCCCAAAATGACTTGAGTGTATTTCTGTACCTGTGATGAGCAGAATGTCTCCAGGACTGACGGTCAATGCCCAGAACGCCGTCTGCCGCCACAGCACCACCTTCATCTCAACACCTGATTGGTCCATCACCACGATGGATGCCAGAGGAACGGAGGTCCCTGCCGCCGGCCCGGACCTAACCTTAAATCCAACAAATCAAAGTGTTAACTTCAACATTAAATAATTTATTACAGGATTTCTGAGCACTTCCTGCACACATTTTCTTTGCCGATTTACCACTTTTGTCCAGACGAATATCTCAACATCTACGAGACAGATTGGCGCAAACAATTTGTACAGACATTCATATTCCACAGAGGACGAATCCTACTGACTTTTGTGATCCCCCAACTTTTCCTTTAGCGCCACCAGCAGGGTGACGTTTGTGGTTGAGTGAAACATCCCAACAACTGACGGATGGATTGTGATGAAATGTGGTTCATCGTTCATGCTCCCCTCAGGATGAACTGTAAGAACTTTAATGATCCTCTGACTTTTCATCTCGTGCCATCATCAGGTTGACATTTTAACATGTCCAATACATGCAAAACTGACGACATCACATCAGCCTTAGCTGGACTCTGTGTTTACTGATAATATGCTAAAGCTAGCATGCTAATATACAACAATAAGATGTCAACATTATACCTGCGTAACATCAGCATGTTAGCATCGTCATTGTGTTTATTAGCAGCTGGAGAACGTGGTTGAACGTTCTCATAATAAGACATGATAATCTTTCTTAAAACGATATTGTTAAAAAAAAGTTTGACGTAGGAAATCGTCGTCTTCACATAATTCTGGTTTTATTAGATCACGATAGACGATACGTCTTAACATCTCCACTCACCTTGACCTCCTTCAGGTGGCAGGGATGGACGACTGCCACCAGAACTGAGTACCGAACACCTTGTTTGTCACAACGGATCAGAAGTGTGGTGGGACCTTGGAGCCCGGTGGCAGTGGTGGCAGTGGTGGTGGCAGTAGTGGCTGTGCTGTCGGTCGACACCGCAGATGCTTCAAGGTTTTCTGAGATTCGAGCTTTCTTGAGATTGGGGGATTTAGACGGGGAGTCTTGAGTGGTCTGCTGCTCAGCCTCCTGGGAGCAGAGCACTCCGTCTGTGGTGGCCTCGATAATGACACCTCCTTCCTGCACCCTCGGGGTCGGGCTGGGTTGGCTGAAGAGTTCGGCAGAGGCTTCAGGTGATGGGGTTACCGGGCTGAAGAGCTCTGGGGTGCTGGAGGAGATAGATGGAGGATTTTTGGTATGTTTGGGTGGGGTTCGGGGAGGCGGGGATTTCTCAGGGCTGGTTGCTGACTGGACGCCACACCTGCCTCTCAGGATTAATGCCTGACTCAGAGTCCAGGTGGCGAGGTAGTGAGTCTGGGCGGACAGAGGAGGGTCGGCTGGTGACGACTGATGTGGAGGTTCAGGTTCTGGTTTCTGTGGTTCTGACTGAGCTGCAGGGAAACAGCTGTCCAGATACTCTTGGACTGAAGACGAACACTGAACTTCCTGTTCGGGATTCGTCTCTTCATCTCCAATCTCTGCAGGTCTGTGATCGTCAGAGCCGAGATCTTCTTGATCTGTGTTCTCTACCAGCGCTCGTTCTTCCTGCCCTCGTGATGCCTTCGTGGTCCAATCAGCTTTAGAGGAAGAGACATCCTGATCAGCGTTTGGTTCATCATCCTGGCTTTGTAAACTGGGCTTAGATTGATCAGCTTCTACGTCCTCATGGCCGACTCTTTCCTCCACCAGACGATTTCCAGCCTCGTCTGAAAGATGAGAAAATAATTTGTATTTTTCACCTTCATTTTGGAAAACACACATATTTACCTTCTCGTTAAGAGTCAGGGTCGATTCACATGCTGCGTTTTTTGCACCCACAGAACTAATGTTGTAAATGTCAACGTGCGGAAGGTGCGTTCAAAAGCAAAAGAGACACTTTAGCTGCACGCAAGTGTTCCCAAGCACCTGTTTTTCAGGACACGTAGGCTGCAAACCGAGATCAAAGAACATTCAACTTACAGAACGCAGCAACGCCCACTGCAGGTCATGTGACGAGGAACAACCAATCACAGACAGCAAATATCTGTCCTTTCTCCAAATTCATCACTGCAGTGCAGAGCTACCCAGGGCTGAACATCTGTCCCACGGACGACATATGAGGTCTAACACTAGCACGTTCTCATCAGAAGTCGTCACATGTCGCCGCTTCGTCAGACACCTTTCACATTTATGTATTAAGTATCCTCCTGCGTCTGCTGTTGACGTTCCAAGACGCCGCAACCAATGCCGGAACATCAACAAAAGCACATGGTTAGGTTTAGAAATAAACATCATGGTTTGGCTCTATGTTCATCCGTGAAGCAAAGAGAGGGCTCCTGGGTGAGAGACTGGGGTGTGTTGGACCCGTCCACTGTTCCTACTGTCCACCGTAGAGGGGAATTCCAACTCCTTACGTTTCGCCGTTATCGGTGGCATTTCAACCTGACGTCATCCAGCAGTGTATCATAACACTGTGAAAGGTTACGTTTGGCTGTGTTACAAACTGACATCACCCAGAGGCGTGTCGTACCGCTGTGAGAGGTGGCTTTTGGTATTGGTGTCTGACGCTGCGATCACTGACAAAGCCATGCTTTTTGACGCTTTTTCGAGGTCTGCTGATACACACTTAAAAAACAGCTGGAAGAAGATCGGCCCTGAACTCAGGATTTCTACGATACGCTGCTGGTTCTGACGAATTCTGCACAATTAAAAAAGAAGCAATGTACTTTAATGTCTTGACTGTTCTTGGGTGCTTTTATGTTTTATTTTTATATTGAGTTACAACAAAAGACGACAGTCAACACTTAAAATACTTAAAATATACAAAAAAAGAATCTGATCTGACAAACTGACTGTCTCTGTCCCTGAACGCCTCACCTGTAGCAGGCCTCAGACGTCCTTCCCGCCAGGTGAGCTCCAGGTGTCTCCAGTCGGCAGGTGGATGCTGGTCACTCTCCACCACAGCCTCAGACACCGAGGCTGGGGTGGAGGAGGGAGGAGGAGCCCCCAGGAAGACGTGGATCTTTGGCCGGTCACACATGTCGTCTGGACCGACGCTCTGTCACTGTGAAATAAACAAATAAACAATAACAACAATAAATGACGCTGTAAAGCTTCATTCAGACGTCATCATCATCAACTTGTTTCATAAATGACTCTGTGACTTTTAAGAAGGTCAGATGATGTCATACAGGAGATCAGTCCTGACTTTATCTTGTATTTAATTTTTAGAATCAGTTCTTTCATGTTTAATTTTAATTTGATTTGTTTTTGAATCCGTTTTTCCCCTATTTTGGATTTTAATTTCATCTATTATTTTATTCATTTTTATTTCATTTTGTTTATTTAGATTTTTTCTTCATACAGTTGATGTTTTCTGTGGTTTTCGATTTGTCCTCTTCGTCTTTGTGGTTAAATAAAGATTCATTTCTAGTTCTCTTCAAATCAACGTGACCAATCATGACAGACTTTCTGTGGTTAATATAATACAAAGCTCAGCGTTAATTAATACACAGAAATGTGCAGCTCAGACACTGATCAGACTCCATAAGAAGAAATTAATTTCTGGGTTGTTTCCTTCATAGTTTCATGTTGTGAAGAAAACACTCAGATGCTTACACAACCATGACTCAGCAGAAAAACTCAGACAGATGTGTTTCACAGCTGGAAACAATCAGACCAGGCAGAGCCGCTGAGTCGCCACTGCTCCACCAATCAGACGGCAGGATGCTGAGGGAGGGTCAGCTCAATTGGGGGGTCGGGGGGGGGCTGATCCAAACTAACCCTGACACCTGAACTGCTCCTGTCATCCAATCAGAGGAAGGCTCTGTCCCATCTGTGAAAGAGTAATAACACTATATATAAAACCACTGCTGCTGCTGCTGAAGAACGACCTCACAAAATCCATTATATAATAATTAAATATTTTAATTGACTCACAATTTTTCAGATATTTGACTTTACACGTCTCTGATATAATTTATATATTCTACTGATATTATTTTGATATTTTCCTGGATTGTTTTTAAGATATTTGACTGATATTTTCCAGGTACTTCATGTTTGTATATATTACTGATAATATTTCAAATATTTTAATAGTAGTATTTGGAATATTTTTGCTGTTATTTTTTATAGCTTTTACTGATATATTTCAGATATCCTACTGGTATTATTTTGAATTTTTTCCCTGACATTTTTGTATGTTTTGCTGATTCTCTGAGTACTTTCAGTCATTTCTTTTTTTTATGTTTCACAGATTTTCTGAATATATAATTTTCCCATTTTTTGGATCCTTGTTGCATTTCAAATTATATTTAAGTGAAATATTTGAGTAAATATAGTTAGTTATTTCTGACCTGTGTTTGTTGGTCATTAAAGAAGCAGCAGGTCTAAAGTGAGACTCATGAAACACTTAAAGGACACTGTGAACTGTTCAACCTGTGTGAGTCACCTGTGATCCCTCCTCTGTGTGTGTGTGTGTGTGTGTGTGTGTGGTGTGTGTGTGTGTGTGTGTGTGTGTGTGCTCAGTTACAGTTTCCTCCTGCAGCTGCTGCTGTCAGTCAGCAGAACCATCTGAGACGTGACTGGATCAGAGTTCCCATCTGGATCACGTCCACTTTACTATCTGACGTCTGAGCACGTTTAATTCAACCTGCTGCAGATCCTCACTGATTTATCCTCTAACTTACTTTATCTTTTTAAACTGAACAATATAAACTGTGACGTCCTGCTCTGACGCCCCCGAGAGGCTGCACACTTCATTACAACATGAACACATGAATCATGTCTATCAGCACCACAGCGGAGACATTAAAAAACGGTTCATCTTATATTGTTCACACAATATTTCTTGAATTATTTATTTTTAATTTTTGGATACTAAATTCATAATTATGTGGATATTTACACGTTTGGGATTTTTCCCGTCAATGTTTTCTTGATATTTCCCAGGTACTTTCTCTGATATCTTTTATATATATTTTACTAATATTGTGCCTTCATTATTTGTGATATTTTCCAGGTATGACATCCATTTGATATATTTTACTATTATTGTACTTATATATATATATATATTTTAAATACTTTCCTAACTTTAAAAAAAAAAATTAATTCATATTTTCCAGGTCATCTCTCTGATATTTTTGGTATATTTTATGAATATTTTCCCTTTATTATTTGTGTTTTCTTGACTTTTTTTGTTAGTATTTTATTATTAATTCTCCCAGGTTCTGTCCCCAAAGTGTTTTGGTGTGTTCATACTTATTTCATCTTCCTGACATTTTTTCCTGATATTTTTTAAATATATCTTACTAGTATTCTAATAGTGTTCTTATATTATTTGTGATCTTATTCTGACTTAAATATATTTTACTCATATTTTCCAGGTATGATATCCATTTAATATATTTTACTGTAATTCTGCTTTTTTTCTTCTTCTTCTTTTTTAAATATTTTCCAAACTTTTTAGAAATAATTTACTCATATTTTCCAGGTTGTATGTTTGACAGATATTCTACTTTAGGTAATTCTGATATGGTTTGGAATATCTTTCTGACATTATCCAGATATTTGTTCAGATATTTGACTGATATCATTTTGGAGAAACAGACTTCATTCATATCTGAACACGATTTTACTCTCCTGACACATGCAGTGAGTTTATTAGTGTGAGACACTGAGAGACGGACAGACCAACTGTCTCAGGACTCTAAGTTTAGACAAGAAGATATTTAAAACCTCCTCGTCTCTCACACACACACACACACACACACACACACACACACACGGTGCTTTGCTTCAAAATGTAACTTTATATTTAGATTAAATAAATTAAGCTTCCTTTCTAACATAAGTTTAGAAACTCTAAAACTAAACTGACTCTAATTTAGAGATAAAAATATATAAATACAGATTGTCAGGAGTCAGGAGAGGAGGTTTGAGGAATGAACCTCCACAGGAAGTTAAATTCAACCTGGAAACAGTATTTGATTTCAAAATAAATGTCTTTCTTACTCTTTTTTTTAAATATACACATATATAAATGTTCCAGATCAGTTTCAGTGTTAATGAGTTATTTCAAATGATTAAAGTCCACTTCAGAAATAAGTTTTATTAAGTGTTATTATCCTGTGTCATTCTTCAATTTTTATGCATTCAAATTTGTTTCATAATTTGTTTTATTCCATTTTGTTTTGTTTTGTTTTGTTTTTTGGATTATTTTATTTTATTATTATTGTTTGAATATATGTTGGTTTATTTTTCCTCTGTTTGTTGAAAATATTTTATATTTGGACTGGTTTGTCCACAATGACAAAGTCAAATAAACTCAAATCACTCAAATTATTGACATGATAATTATCATTTTTATAAAGTGATAAAACCTGTTGAAATGATGTGACTGTAGTTTGTATCAGTTTTTGTGCAAGCTACAAAAAGCCTGAGGCTCCTCAACCCCTGCTGTCATGTCCGTGTCACTTGTATTTCTCTGCAGTTTGACACACTGAGGTCACAGGTCATTAGAGCGGAGTGGCCAAAATTTAAATATATTATCAAATTAGTAGAATCAGCTGAGTGATGACACACTATGAGTACATATTTCTTCTTGTCACTTTATCTTCATATAACTGTTTTACAACCTGTTGAAATCTCTGTATATGTACAGTATGTATCTGTTGAGGGATCATTGGTGCGGCGGTTCGATCCCCGGCTCCTCCAGTCCGCATGTCAGAGTATCCTTGGGCAAGATACTGAGCCCCAAAGTTCTCCTGATGGCTGCTCCATCAGTGTGTGAGTGTGTCACTGAGTAGCAGGTGACACCTTGTGTGGTAGTCTTGGCCACCTGTGTGTGAACGTGTGTGTGAATGGGTGAATGTGACATGGTGGAAAAGTGAGTGATCATAGAACCAGGAGAGCGTCATACAAGTGCAGTCCATTCTTAATATTTATCCCGCAGTATGTGCAGTTTATTCACTTTGAAATGATACATATATATATAATATACATCATTTTTATCTCTACATTTTATATTCTGCACTATTTTTGTGTCAGTTTCATTTTTGGGATTTTCTTTTTATACACATTTAATTTAATTCTAAGCACATGTAAAGGAAGACTAAGGTTGAATGTTTTACAGATGCTAACAAACAAACTACTGAATGGACACTCCAAATGTTTGTGTTTGTATGAGTATAACGATAAAGAGAAAATAAATAAATAAAATAAAACAAAGGAAATAATAATTATAACTGTATTACTAACTGAAGAAATGTTCAGTTTGTGTTGAGAAATATAAAACCTTAAATAAAGTAAAAAAATGTCATCAATATATGCTTTTATTTTGAATGTCACAACCGGAAGTTCCGTGTGTACCTGTTCTAGCTAGCTCGACGCTAGCTTAAACAACCAAAATATAACGGAAAAAGTGTAAAATCAGTTTAAAATAAACATGTCTGCCACGTGCTCTTCACTTTCTTTATCTCTGCGTCCTTTTCGCTTTATTTCCGGTGACGTACCGTCACGTATGTTCGGTACAAACACGTTTAAAACGGGTTTTAAAGCGCTAAACTTTAGCTCAGACACGCGACTGTTCCGGGACGTTACTGCCGGTTAAAAAGGTCTCGTGTCGTTTAGTTGAAAAACAGCCGCACGTGCACACACACCCGCACGTGCACACGCTGTCACGCAGCAGGAAGGGGCGGCGGGAAGGAGGAGCCGCGGCTGCGGGACAACTTTTTGTATTCCCCGCTCCACTTCTTCGCCTTCCCCCGCACAGTCTCCAGCTCTGACCGAACTCAGCCGTCGGTAAACCCGCTGAAAACACCAAAATGTACCGGTACCTCGGAGAGCTTCTCACCCGGGGAGCTGGTAGCGTCCTGGCCTCGGGTGGCTCCGCCGCCGCCGCCGCCGCCGCTGCTGACTCGGCGCTCCCGGCGACTGCGTCTCTGCTGCGGTACCGCGGCTACAGCCAGGCCGTGGACGGGCACGACGACCCGAACTTCTTCACCATGGTGGAGGGCTTCTTCGACCGGGGCGCCGCGATCGTGGAGGACCAGCTGGTGGAGAGCCTGAAGACCCGGGAGAGTCCCGAGATGAAGAGGAAGCGGGTCCGCGGGATCCTGGGGATCATCAAGCCGTGTAACCACGTCCTGAGCGTCAGCTTCCCCATCAAGAGAGACAACGGAGAGTGGGAGGTGATAGAGGGCTACCGGGCTCAGCACAGCCAGCACCGGACACCCTGCAAGGGAGGTGAGACCCGCACCGGAGCACGCGCTCTTAGATAGGATGTCACAACCATATTATGGGATGTTTTAAAGACTGTCAGGGAAGTTAAACCAGCTCCAAGAAGTTACAGGAAGATCACAGCAATACTGCGGTATTTATTTATTTACATTAGAATATCAGAAAATCATATCCAGATGTCCTCATATGTTATCATTAAATATATCTGACAGATACCAGTAAAACACCAGTAAAACATAGAACATGTCAGGAAATGTTTATAAAATATTAATAAATTATTTATATGAAAACTATTAGTATAATGTTCAAATAAATTAACAGGGAAAATCTTTGGAAACCATTTGTAAAATATCAGTAAAATATATGAAAAATTTCAGTAAAATGTACAAAAAAAAATAAGAGAAAATGTCAGGAAAACATTTAGAATCATATGAAAAACATCAATGAAATATATTTAAAAAATCAGGGAAAAATCTGAGCAAGACATTTATGAAATATCTGTAAAACATCTGTAAAGTATACAAAAGAAAATGAGGGAAAATCTCTGGAAACCATAAAATACTTGTAATGTTTAAGAAAAATATCAGTTACATGTACAGAAACTCAGGAAAATATTCATAAAATACCGGTAAAATATTTGATAAATATCAATAAATCATGCAGAAAAACAGGGACAGTCTCAGGAAAACATTTATAAAATATCTGAAAAATATCAGTAAAGTGTACAGAAAACAGTGGGAAAATCTTTTGAAAACATTCATAAAATATCAGTAAAATATATGAAAAATTTGTGGATAATATCCCCAAATTATTTCTAAAATATACATGATGTATCTTGTACACCAAGGAAAATAATAAAAAGATGAATAATTCATAATAATATAAGACACTGAGTCATAACTTGATATTTACCACATGTCAGTGGTGGAAAATATGTTTACTCAAGTACTTCAGTACAGTTTTCAGTTACAGGTACTTTACAAGAGTATTTTAATTTGATATAAGTTTATACTTGTGCTGCAGAACATGTTCAGTGATTTCCACTCTGAACTCCTCAGGTGATTTTATTGAAGTAACTGAGGCTCAAAGAGGAAACAGAAGATAATATTTTACATAAAAGCTCATATTGGAGAAACGACACTAAAATGAGTGTTCTTCCCTCGCCCATTAACCATCTCTCGACCCTTCAGATTAACCTGGTGACCATTTGGAGGGGCCCCAACCAAAGGTTGGAAACCAATAACTCTCTAAAATGAACATGAAGTAGCCTGAATCAGTCACAGGGGACATTTTACTGCAGAACCAGGACTTTAACTTTGATACTCAAAGTACATTTTGCCGCTCATACCTGTGTGTGCAGAGTTTTAACTGCAGTCAGGACTTTAAAATAAAGAATAAAGTCATTTTTAAATGAACTTATTAAAGATGTGAAGACACAGACAAGCTGCAAAGAGATCTAACATGATTGGTTGTTACTGTCTCGTGTGGTTTGTGTGTGTGTGTGTGTGTGTGTGTGTGTCCGGGTGATTGTGTATTGTGTGCAGCATTGACTCATGCTGATGGATCTGTACATGTTGAACGGAGCGTCGGCAGGTTTAATGTGTTTGAAGGTGGTGAGGTTTCCTCCCCAGACAGGAATGCTGACAGTCCGGTCAGCTGCTTGTTTCTGCAGACTGTGTGTGTGTGTGTGTGTGTGTGTGTGTTCATCCTGACCTGTAGGTGTGTTTGTCCTGCTGGTGCAGTGTGTTCACCTCTCCTCTTTCTGCTTCCTGTTTCTCAGTCTGACCTCGGGTTTGTTGGGTTTGTTCACCCTGACATTCAGACTCAGGTGGTGAAAACATGCAGACAGACACACACGGCGGAGTTTGGTCGTGGTCATGGAAGGATGTCGTTTAAACTCTGGTGCAGATACCTGACTGACCTGTTTTCTCTTGTTTTTCTGCTGCTGTATTGATACTTGTTATAGTAGCTGTACTGGTGGACGGCACGGTGATGCAGTGGTTAGCATTGTTACCTCACAGTAGGAGGGTTCCTGGTTTGAACCTTGGGGTGGAGGAGCCCTTCAGTGTGAAGTTGGCATGTTCTCCCTGTGTCAGCGTGGGTTTCCTCCAGGTGCTCTGACATGTTCTCCCTGTGTCAGTGTGGGTTTCCTCCAGGTGCTCTGACATGTTCTCCCTGTGTCAGCGTGGGTTTCCTCCAGGTGCTCCGACATGTTCTCCCTGTGTCAGCGTGGGTTTCCTCCAGGTGCTCTGACATGTTCTCCCTGTGTCAGCGTGGGTTTCCTCCAGGTGCTC